CATTCAAATATTCCTACATGAATTCTGACAAAGAGACAGTTGGTCTTCTAGTTCTAAAAGTAGCTTTTCCTTCACTGACCCTCAATATTCACTGACAATATTTTGAAGGTAATAATGGAACCAGAATGGGGAGGTCATGGATCTAATGCAGTGCTTCCCAGCCTTGGGTCCCCAGTGATGTTCTTGGACTAAAATTCCCAGAAGCCTTCACCAGTTGCTGTGCTGGCCAGGGTTTCTGGCAGTTGTAGTCCAAGAACATCTGGGGAACCATGGTTCTAAAGAGCTCTGACCCCCCCTCCTCCTTCTCTCGGTACAGCCCAAGAACGGTGCTGGTGGCAAAATATTGCAATGAAGAGAAGGTTTCTCAACAACAACAACAAAAGTATAAGGCTGGCCAAGAAAATGGCATTTGCTGCTCTGACTCTTGAGCAGCAGAAGCCACGTCATGGCTGTCAGAGGAAGGTGCTTAACCCCCACCCACCCCGAATTCTGAATGTCCTAATTGTTTTAATGGCCACAGAAAGATGTGGTTTCTTAGCTGTCTACTCTGCGTGCACCAATTACACTCACATGCCACTCGTGGAGCATTCCTGCCACTTTGAAAAAAATGTCTGCCGAGGCTCCAGATAGCACTGCTGCCAATCTCACCCTTCTGCCTCAGGGCAGGTCTGCCAGAAAAGCAGCCGCCATAAATCACCCAGTAAAAGTTTTGGAGCATAAAAAAATAAAGTATCCATTGGTCATCAAACAAAAGCAAAAAAAAACGCATGTGCTCCTAGCCAAAACTGTCTGCTGTGGACACTCTGTCATCAGGGAGCTGCCAAAAAGTTCTCCTTCCCATTAAACTTTTGAGGAGAGTGATAAATACATTTCTTCCTTCCCTTTGTTCATTTCTCACCAGGCTGGAAAATTGAGTCCAAGTTGAAAGCATTTTTCAACCACCTAATCAGTCATGTCCATAATGTTAAATCTTGCTCTTTCTTTCTTCCTTTCCTGCTGAATGGTTGAGGCTCAAACTTAGGATTTACAACTTCTGAATTTGTCAAACAAGCCTGTAACAAGCCCCTTGGGGTGTTTCTTTTAATATAGGCCCATCTTCTAATGCACATTTTCTGCAGAGCCTTCAATCATGAGAAGTATAGTGCTGGGAAGAGCAGGACAAAGAACTGCAGGGGCAGCACTGTGGATAGACGTTAACGTATCTACCTGCCAATGCTGGTCAAGGAGAATATGAAGAAGGAAGGACACATTATAATTACAGTACAGTCGTGCCCTGCTTAATGATTACCCCACATTACGACTAATCCGCTTCACAACGATGTTTTTGTGATCGCAATTGCTGCGCGATGATCGGTTCCCTGTTTCGGAAACCGATTCTTCGCATTGCGACAATCAAAAAAGCTGATCATCGGGTTTTCAAAATGGCCACTGGGTGCTCAAAATGGCTCCCCACTGTGCTTAGGGACGGATTCCTCGCTATACAGGCACTGAAAATGCCCGCTGTATGGAGGATCTTCGCTGGACGGTGAGTTTTTAGCCCATCGGAATGCATTAACCGGGTTTTAATGCATTTCAATGGGTTTTTTATTTTCACTTTACGACATTTTTGTTCTACAGCGATTTCGCTGGAACGAATTAACGTCGTTAAGTGAGGCACCACTGTATAAACTGTTATATTCTTCTAGAAATCACACATTAAATGGAATCTTGAAAAAGAGACATGAAACGACCCCTTGTAACCTGCCTCCCTGATAGTCTGGGTATCCAAATCTTAAAGACACCTAATACGCAAACAAACTAACAACCTGATTTACTTCCCTGCCAGCCAAGCTGTCCTGAGAGGTCTCTCCCTCCCAGGAAACCAAAGGAAATGTTGCAATTTTGCCTACGGCTTCAGTTGGTGCCCTGAGATCTGGTAACCCTAGTTCCAGGTGATACAGCGACAGGCTTGCTTGACCTTTTTTGCCGTTTCTTTCAAAAAATAAAAATAAATTCCCCTTTCTTTTCACTGTGCCTATGCTGTACATGCACAGAGACATTCCTATCTACCTTTGCCCTCTTCCATGCATCTAACAAACTGGGCTCAGGTGAACAACAAGCAGGAAAGGACTTAACACTTACTGGAGCACAGCAACTGATGTCCAGTTTCACGAAATGACAGTTGAATGGTTAATTACTCTACAGTTCAGTTTTAAAAAGCCTTGTACACAAATCAAAGGCAAGAGCGGGTGATAACTTTATTAGATCAATTTAAAAAATTGCAAACAGAAGCTGGGTATTGATTTTCATCAGACTGCATACCACAGTGCTGTGCATGGTGAAGAAAATCATGCCAGATGTCAAAGCCATCCCAATCAACCCCGAAGGTACAATCAAATGCATGCCTGTGACTTGAGCCTGTAGTCCCTTGCTTTGAACTAAGGAATGTGGACTGCACATCCTGCCATGTTTTTGGGACCTCTTTCTGCACCACCCACAGTACCGTAGTGCCCAGCCTGATGAAGACCCTTATGAGGCTGAAAGATAACTTATGTTTGCATTTTTTTTAATGGTCTAATAAAGGTATTGGCCATACTTGCCTTTAGTTAATTACTCTGTTTATTACAATCCTGTTTTTACTGCCAAAGAGGTATCTCAGGGGCCCAAATACCGGGACTATGTACCTTGACAACAGGGTAGAGTGATCCTTGTTGCTTAGGCTTATGCAGACATTAGAAAATTTGCTTTGAGGGGGCACTACAACTCCCAGAATACGCCAGGCGAATTAGGTCCTGGCCATGCTGCATGGGGCATTCTGGGACCTGTAGTCCAGAAATGAACCTTTCCTTTCATTGTCATTTTCATCTTCAAAAGAAAGAATATAACTTTTGGCAAGAAGTGTCTTTTACTTCTTCTTGCTGCCATAAAGATGACTAAGGGCTGTAGAATGCAACGATAGCAACAGAATGTTATAGATAGCCTCTGTAATTAGAGCTGAAAGCACACTCCTGTTGGTGATATGTGATTCAGGGAGGCTTTTGTTCAATTAGATCTCAGACGAATACCACACTTAGGTTTTGTAAGCCAATTATCAAACAGTGCAAGCTAATTTGTAACTTTTGGGAGCTGACGGAAACTCTTGTGCTGTGAATCACACTCAACTGTATTACCCTCTGAAGAGTTTTCTCTTCTACTCTCAGACTATCTATAGAAGACACCTATTTTTGCTTTTAGCTGCAATTTTCTGTAATAAGGTCGCTCCCATTACATGGTTGCACATTGCTGTTGTTGAAAATGTATAATTGTTGGAAGAGGCATGCTGTGCACTTAGAAATGAAAAAGGCATTTTATGACAGGCTTAAAAAACAACATCCACATCTCCTTTTCCTCACTTGGTTTGATTTTAGAAATGTGTTCTTCCCTCACATTTAAACTTATGCTAAAAACATTCTTTAGTCTGCTTTTATAAACAGAGA